CGGAATAAATGGTATAGAATATTTGTTCCAACAGGAACAGATATTATGACATTGTTTATAACAAAGTTTCCAGTGGAACTTCTGTTAGGCGGAACAAATATACGTTGACAGAAGTGGTAGTCAATGTTGGGAACTGAGAGAAGAGGGGGATTAAAAGATAGGGATATGTTGGAAAACTTTTTTTGACCGATTTTCCAAGAGTTAGTGTAAGGGATGTGGAAATTTGGTGAGGTGAGAGGGAATCAGTTATCCCATTGCACATCCCCTTGTATAACCAGTTATAAATCGTCCCGAGGCGAGACAAGAAGTTCGCTCCTATTCATCAAAAATCTATGTGAACATAAAAAAGAACAATAACAAATCCCAATTATGTAAACAAAGATAACCAATGGTGAGTTTCCTCCTTTGAACAGACTTAGAAACTTGATTAGCACGGTCTTAATAGTTTCAAACTTAATCAACCTGTTTCCCTTTTACAAAACATTCTGATTGACTGACTGGTTGTCGGTGTAATAAGCCACTTTCAGCACTCTTTGCTTAATCGTAGCGATCAGTTTTTACTGTTGATGGAAGCCGGAATGCCCAGAGAAAACCTTCGACAGGAATACTGACAGTGCTAGTAAATTAAGATCGAAGTCGAATGCACTTGTCACAAGCAGGGCTCTAACTCACAACCTCACAACCTCAGTGTTGATAGGCTTTTTTTATTAGTTGTTATTGGCTTTATAACTGCAAGTACTCTAAGATCTGTACTAAAGTGTCATTTTGTTGTTGGGATGTACAAGTACCCGTCCACGTCCACTCTGTGTTTTTGTTAGATGTATTTCTATTTTTATCCATCTGATGAGTTAAGCCTTTTGCAACTGATTTTTATAGTGTGTTCTTATGTTGTAATGTTACACCACTGTCCCAGGTTAGGGGGAGGGTTGGGCGCCCGCTAACATGTTTAACCCCGCCACATTCTGTATGTGCCTGTCTCAAGTCAGGTGCCTGTAATTTAGTGGTTGTCGTTTGTTGCTGTGTTAGATATTTGTTTTTCGTTTATTATTTTGTAAATAAATTAGGCCGTTGGTTTTCTCGTTTGAATTGATTTACATTTGTCATTTCGAGGCCTTTAATAGCTGACTATGCGGAATGGGCTTTGCTCATTGTAGAAGGCTGTACGGTGACCTATAGTTGTTAATTTCTGTGTCATTTTGGTCTCTTATGGAGAGTGTCTCATTGGCAATCATACCACATCTGTTTTATAATTATGATCACTGTGGAACTTCTTAGATTAATCCACCACTAAGACCCTCAAAAGATACTGAGAAAAGTGAACAACATAAAGAAAAACCATTCAACTACTTAATATCGGTATTACAGTCAACAAAAAAGACACATGCAAGAGGGTCTAGATAGAGTATAATGGGCAACAAAAAAAAAAAAAAAAAAACAGAATAGAGATATATAGGCATAACAAAATAGAATAATTGGGGACTTAAATATAAACAATAGACAACAATTGGCAAAAAACATACAAAAAAATAGAGAAAAAGAAAGAACCCCATCCAGACCATCGTGCATGTAATCAACAGTATTAAAGATTGTTTTGAAGATTTTGAAAGTTAAACTTTGTTCAAAATACTTAATTTGTTGTTTCAATAATCATACCGTTCTACACTCTAATATCGGCCGCAGTACTTCAAAGTTAGAAACAATCTAAAAATGTTTGGATATTTATAGCACCTGTACCTCTGATATTAAAGAAGTGCATATCTTTCTTTTTTAATGCACCAATGAGACCCTCAACAGATAATAATTGATTTGTGATTGTTTTACGCCGCACCAGCACAGCACAACAATAAATAACGGTCTAATTTATACAACACACTATATACGAAAATCAAATATGACAGACATGGACAAACGACAACCACTGAATTACAGGCTCCTGAATTCGGACAGGCACATTAAACCTACGACGGGGTTAAACATGTTTGTGAGTGCTGAACAACAAACCACCAACCCTCCAACCCTACCGGGGACAGTGGTTTAACATGACAATATAAGAACAAGCTGTACAATTCAATTCAGTTGCAAATGGCTTAACTCAATAGATCAGTAAGAAGCACAAACAAACCAACTATTATATAACATAAAAACAATAAACACAAAGTACAGATACACGAGAGATGATCCGGTCCATAACTTTCGATATCATAAGCAAACATTTCAATCAAAGTTATAAACTTATGTTGAAAAACAAGGTTGAAAATAATTAAAAATACCTTGCTTTGTTGAAGAAATGATGTCTTGGACGTCTAAATGAGAGAATGATTTTCACCTGTCGCCATGTTCGTCGAAAAAGCATCCAGGAAGTAAAATTGAAATGTCCATAATAGACATTATGTTTATTGTGAAGGTCGTAAAATTTAAATAATAATAAAAAAAATATACCAAATGTGTGTACAGGCAATGTATATATGCAATGTATTGATTGTTTATCTATTTCCAGCAATTTTGGTCTTGTAAGGATATATTTTGCATAATTAATAATATTTGTTTAGGAAGTAGGACATTTATTTTTAATACGGTTTCAATGCTTCAAAAACAGGTACTTGTTTGGAAATTGCATTCTTTTTATGAAAATTTAATGCAAATATAAAATACGCATTGCCTCGCTTATGCTTCTCTCTTTTAAAGCATCCATTTGCAGAGTTGCGTGTCAGTATACTCTGCCTCCCCCTTTCAATCTCCAATAGCAAATAGTTATTTATATTTCAATGCGATCTACGTGTAAATGAAAGAGGCGTGATTCTCTGGTTAACACAACATAAGGTACAGGAAAACCACCCGTTGCTTGTCACAGTTCCGCTAGCAATGTTATAAAGTAAAGATTCATTTATTTCATATTTGCGACATACATGTATCTATATATTACATGAATATACATGTCCATTTTATAACCATTCGGAACCTACAGCTTTTACTGTCCAAAACGATGATAAAACCCTAAACACTTCTTGTCATTTAAATATAGATATTTATTTTTATTTTTACACTTGACCCGACGATCGATCGATCAAATAGTATACATAGTGACGTCGCAATTTTTGTAATCATTGTTTGTAAATCATGCGATCCAAGGCTACGTACGGCCGGATACGGAAACCGGATTAGAATCTATGAATTTTAAATAATTTGTTATGTCTATTTTTCGATTTCATTACAAAAATATAAAATTCATTATAACGAATGAAATCTGTCAAAAGGAACTTGTAATATACACCGTTCTGTAACTAGAACAAATTCTTAAAACATGTATGCACTAATGAATTCTTTAAAATTTGTGAAAATTTTAAATTCCTAATAAATATTTTTTTTTTATTTCAGATTTAATACAAAATTAAAAAGCTGTTAAAACGAATTAAAATATTTAATTTCGAAATATATAGGTCCCTTTTTTTTTGGCTTCGTGAAAAGCAGACGTTTGTCTTCAAAGCAATATAAACATTTTACATTTGTCATTTCGGGGATTTTTATAGCTTACTATCCGGTATATGGGTTTTGCTCATTGTGGCACGGTGACCTTTAATTATTAACTTCTATGCCATTTGGTATCTGGTGGAGAAATGTCTCATTGGCAATCATACCACATTTTCCTATTTTTATATGTATATAAAATAAGGAGATGTGGTATGATTGCCAATGAGACAACTATCCGGCAGAGACCAAATGATATATGCCCATATTTGGCCCTAAACTTAAATTGAAAATAGCAATACATGATCTTGCTCTTAAACTACTAAGATAACATATTTTTAGAAAACAAAAAACTTTTTTTACATTTTTAAATAGGAGTTACCAATGGCAACAAACCATGACGTTTATTGGTATATTTTTTGAAATTTCTTGATTTTTCTTGATTGGTATCAACTTTTGAGCAAATTTTGGATGGCAAAGTATTGGGACACCAAAAACACATACTCGATGGGATTATGCTAATAGCTTTAATGAAAAATATTTGTTTTATAACTTTTGTTACTAAAATGGATGGAATACTTCGAAAATCAGCATCCTGCCTCATTCTTGAAATTATGCGCATATGATGAAGTAAATTTGATAGTATTTTACATTATTAATATTGTCTAACTTATCTTTATATTTATTTTTATGCATTTCAATAAGTTATGATCAAATTTGAGTGAGGTCAACAAAACAAAACAAAAACCATTTTCTTTGGCAAAAAATGTGTCTTAACGCCCTTTCTCCTCTATTGAGTTACATCAATTTTTTGGTTATAATTGGGACCATCCACTTCACAAACACTGCGTTCAAAAGTACCTTTGAAATTTTATTATCTGAATACAGAATAACGTCTGTCGTTGAAATTTTACCACTTTGATCTGAGCTAGATTAAAACGGGTTTCAACTGTCCGTGATATTTTGTTATGTCCAACTTGTCTCGTACTGTATGTGGCAGACAAGTTGTCTATGGACAATAAAAAACGATTCAATATGACAGTCTCGGTGTGTGGAAAAGAGTACAATCTAGTAGTGTTGGTTTCAAATAAGAAAAGGGATATTCAATATTTTCAAATGGAGATCGAGTTCTGTAAACGAAAACGTGAGCTCGTAAACCAGTAGATTTCATTGTATTTTCAAATTGTATTGTTTGTTCAAATCTAGGAATGACAGAGCGTGCACATATCTCCTTTGTTTGTGTCTGTATAACATGTACATTGTATGATGGGTATGTCGATCGTTACAAGATTTGTTTTCGTCCAAAACACTCACGAAATATTTGCCACTGGACGTACAAGGCAAATAATTAATCAAATCCACGCGAATATCACGTGAAAACAGTTCTCGTTTGAAGTGAAATTCACGTGAAGTTCATGTGAGTGAAATTTTCATGTGCAAATTAAAGTTTTTTCTACCATACATTTGTAGGTCACCAGCGGCTTCTGGTTGAAATGGTTCATAATTCACATTGAGTTATTTCCCTTATATTATTATTTACTTCCTATTTACGAACTATGGCAAAAAGTACAAAACAAAATGAAAAAGGAAAAGACAGGTGAGTAAAATGAATGATTGAAGTATAATTTGCATTTTGAATGGTTATTTTTAGACATATTGTAAAGCTTTAGATCTTAAGATCACAAACGCTAGTATATTCATGGTAGTTTAGTACTCGTTATACATGTGTAACTATGTTAATCTGGTGTCACAGTTTTCCAACTTATCATACAATAGTTTTTAAATTGATCTTTATTCTATAATTCAGTATTCAGTTACAAAAAATAGGATAATCAAATATAAATTCAACTGATTATATTTGTTTTAAAGATGTCATTCTCGAAACTGAAAGTAGTTTCCTTCCTTCTCTTATAGTTGTGTCTAAACAAGAAAAGAGGATCAATATATTTTTTTATCTTACCTCCTATACATTTCTAGGAATAGGATTGGTTAAAAGCAACCGCGTGGAGATCGTGTATATTCCATATTGGGTTAGTAGTCGGGGCTAATTTCAATACACGGTTAGTAGTGGTGTTACGTCTCTTTATAAAAACAACACGGTGTTGAGGAGAAATCTTAAAGGTTTCAACAGACGAAGAAATTGATGATGAACGATTGAAATAAATTAATAAAACACATTTAAAGCTAACATGTTGTAATTGTTGGCATTTGTTTTTGTATAGACCAATGGAAGAAGGTTCTTAATACTAACGGTATTGAAGACTTGATCACTTTGATAGGCCACTAGTCTAAATACCACATGTTTAGATAGTCGATACGATAAATTCGTTACATAGTGTGTTAGTGACCTAATACGATATTTATAGATTATCTATGGTTATCTGAACGAGATTGATTTTCTCGCTTGAGCCGGTACGGCGAAAGCGAGAAAAGCAATCGATTTGAGATGACCAATGGTAATCTGTTTATCGCTATTTTACCTATGAAGACGTTGTTAATTTCCTTGACAACGGCACGTGTTCCCTTAGTTTCTAGCGATAATTTTCATATCACTCGACTCCATTTTCATATCACTCGACTCCGCTGAGAACGGAAATTATCAGTCAACAAGATCAAAGGAAAAATTCTTAAAATAGCGATAAACAAATTTATATGGCGTTAGTAAATTCCATATGGGGATTCCAGCTTCGCTCTCACCCCATATATATCGTATAAGGTCACTAGCACACTCTGTAACTAATAATATTATGCCCCATTTTTCACTGATGTAAAGTGATTTAATATTTAAAAGTTTATTAAAAATTTTGCAAGGATAAAAAGAAAGACCCATCGCTTGCGATCATAACTATCAGTCGATTTTACCAAAATCTCTGTATAAAGATGATAAAGGGACGTGATTTCTGTGTACAAACAATTGATTTAATGCTTTTTAACACAAAGTTGACTGCTGTACCCCGATTTTTGATATTTTTACCTATTATGTCTGTTTGTTTTGTTCACACATTGTTGTCAATATAATGGAATTTTATGAGACTGTCATACAAGTGAGAGGTTTAGCTAGCTATAAAACCAGGTTTAATCCACCATTTTATACAAAAGAAAATGCCTGTACCAAGTCAGGATTATGACAGTTGTTATCCATTCGTTTGAGCTTTTGATTTTGCCATTTGATTAGGGACTCTCCTTTTTGAATTTTCCTCGGAGTTCGGTATTTTTGTTATTTTACTTTTTAATATCCTAAGACGACGTAACAGTCGTAACCAGAAACAATTTGTTTTCCATGTTTGGTATCCAATTTGAAACAAAATTAAATTTCACGTGTAACACCCCCCTCCCCAAAGAAAAAAAAGTTGAAAAACAAAAAAAGAAGTTTACTGTACATAGTGATACATTAACATATTATGACACATTAATATTTTATAATATTTATTTTTTCAGCCATGAAATGGGTTCTGCCAAACTTTTTGTGGCTGCAATTGATTTTGGAACTACCTATTCTGGGTACGCATTTTCAGCCCGAAATTCTCCCGAAACCTTATACACGTGCGACTGGAAAAATAATAATTTACTGTCCAGGAAAGCTCCGACGTCCGTTCTTATTGACAATGACGAACAGTTTGTAGCATTTGGGTTTGATGCAGAAAACAAATATATGGCTAGTCTCGAGAATGATTCGGATTCAGATTCAGATGACAGTGACGAAGAGAAAAATCCTTCATGTAAAGCCGTATATCGTTATTTTAGTCGGTTTAAGATGGAACTACACGATAAGGTAATTTGAAAGGGTTTATATATTCACATATACTGTTTATTGATTTTTTTTTTTATAAATGACCAATGGGAAATGAGTTCAGTTGAAATTGTTCCCTTTTTTTATCAAAGTTTTTTATTACTTCGATCAGCTCTTATCAAAAAATGACTGTAGAAATATGGTTTCGTGTCGTTTAGTTTTTGCATGCCTGTTTCAGCAATTGCTATTTCCTGTCGTACATTTTTAAAATTTACAGATAACATTTATAGAGCTAATTGAAGGCACGGACGGTATTGCAATCAAAAGCCAGAATGTTTCTTGCATTTCTTGTGACCGATTATGATTTTTATAATTTTTCTACCATTACGAAGTTGGTCTTGTTCGCAAATTAGTTGTTTTGTTATAAATTACTAGGCCGTTAGTTTTCTCGTTTGATTTGTTCGACATTTTTCATGGCGGAGTCTTTTATAGCCAATTATACGGTACGAGTTTTCCCCATTGTTGAAGGCCGTACGGTTGCCTGTATTCTTATATTGACTAATCTTCTAAATTGGAATAGTCTCCAGTGCTTGGGATTCGATCCTAAAATAACTTGTATAGGATATAGTCTTTTTCCTTATTTCTTTAACGGTCTGGCTCTCATCGATGTATATTTTAAACATACTTGAATTAATGATTTCGTCTTTTTGATTTATTCGAAAAAAAGTATATGCATTGTGATATAAAAGTAAAATTTAACATTAGTGTTAAAAGGACTGAAAAAAAACCAGATAACTTAGTTTCTGAGATATGAACTTGGAAATTATTTAAACGTGATATATATCAATAATTACATTACATGTATGTTTCATTATTATATGTTATTTTGATTGGCTATCAGCAATCTCGCGTCATTATGAAATTTACCTTCATTTCAAAAAAATGAAATGTAACATTTATGACGACACGAGCTTCCACAATAAAGTGCTAAGGTAGATAAGAGAAAAACTTGATAGAAATCGTGTTTTCATGATCCTAGCAAAATTGTAATTATAATTATTGAATGCTTCTTTTAGTAATTTTATAGGGTCGTAAAAACGTTGACCGTGCGCACATTTTTAGCTCACCTGGCCCGAAGGGCCAAGTGAGCTTTTCTCATTAATTGGCTTCCGTCGTCCGTCGTCCTGCGTCCTGCGTCCGTCGTCCGTAAACTTTTACAAAAATCTTCTCCTCTGAAACTACTGGGCCAAATTTGACCAAACTTGGCTACAATCATCATTAGGGTATCTAGTTAACAAAATGTGTCCGATGACCCCGCCAACCAACCAAGATGGCCGCCATGGCTAAACATAGAACATGGGGGTAAAATGTAGATTTTGGCTTATATCTCTGAAACCAAAGCATTAAGAGTAAATCTGACAGAGTAAAACTGATTATCAGGTCAAGATCTATCTGCCATGAAATTTTCAGACAAATCTGACAACCTGTTGTTGGGTTACTGCCCCTGAATTGGTAATTTTAAGCAAATTTTGCAGTTTTTGGTTATTATCTTGAATATTATTAAAGATAAAGATAAACTGTAAACAGCAATAATGTTCAGCAAAGTAAGATCTACAAATAAGTCGTCATGACCAAAATTGTCAGTCGACTTCTTTAGGAGTTATTGCCCTTTATAGTCAATTTTTAACAATTTTTCGTAAATTTTTGTAATCTTTTACAAAAATCTTCTTCTCTGAAACTACTGAGACAAACTTAATAATACTTGGCCATAATCATTATTAGGGTATCTTGTTAAAAAATGTGTCCGATGACCCCGCCAACCAACCAAGATGGCCGCCATGGCTAAAAATAGAACATAGGGGTAAAATGTAGATTTTGGCTTATATCTCTGAAACCAAAGCATTTAGAGTAAATCTGACATGGATAAAACTGATTATTAGGTCAAGATCTATCTGCCCTGAAATTTTCAGACAAATCTGACAACCTGTTGTTGGGTTGCTGCCCCTGAATTGGTAATTTTAAACAAATTTTGCAGTTTTTGGTTATTATCTTGAATATTATTATAGATAGAGATAAACTGTAAACAGCAATAATGTTCAGCAAAGTAAGATCTACAAATAAGTTGTATGATCAAAATTGTCAGTCGACCCCTTTAGGAGTTATTGCCCTTTATAGTCAATTTTTAACAATTTTTCGTAAATTTTTGTAATCTTTTACAAAAATCTTCTTCTCTGAAACTACTGAGACAAATTTAACCATACTTGGCCATAATCATTATTAGGGTATCTAGTTTAAAAATATGTCCGATGACCCCGCCTTCCAACCATCATGGCCGACTTGGTTAGAAATAGAACATAGGGGTAAAATTCAGTTTTTGGTTTATATCTCTGAAACTAAAGCATTTAGAGCAAATCTGACAGTGGCAAAAATGTTCATCAGATTTAGATTTATCTGCCCTGAAATTTTCAGACGAATCCGACAACCCGTTGTTGGGTTGCTGCCCCTGAGTTAGTAATTTTACAGAAATTTTGCAGTTTTTTATTATTATCTTAGATATCATTATAATATCTAATATCTAATACTATTAATTATGATTTTAACCTTATGTTACATGATTTCCAAAGCATCAGTAAATACAGGTGAGCGACACAGGCTCTTGAGAGCCATTAGTTAGATTGAAGCGCTACCGCGCTTCATACAAAATGTACTTCGGTCAACGTTTTTACACCCCAATGAATTTACAAAAAGAAGCATTCAATTCTTAAATGAATTATTATGCATGGGTTATATTGATATCGGGGAAGGGTAATGGATTATTATGCACTGGGATATCGACATCGGGGAAGGGTAATAAATCATTATGCACGGGGATATCGACATCGGGGAAGGGTAATGGAATATCATGCACGGGGATATCGACATCTTGGTAGGGTCTTTAAGTGATTGTCTTGGTCTACTGCAATCGACCTCAATTTTTCTTTGTCTGTTTTATTTTCTATAAAGGATGATTTTGAACAAAGCGGCATAACTCAGACCTTAATATGTTAAAAACTTCTGTCGGATTTTATTCGTATTTGAACACATCAATAGAAAAAAAAACAATAATAAAAAAAGTCTATGCCTTTTGATATTCATAATATTCGCAAAGGAATCAAAATATAATCATTATGAATGTTTGATGCAGATAGCTATTCATGAAAACCATTTTGCAATTCCCTTTTCACTATTGAACATTTTGTAGGAATGCCTACTTAGTGCAGCCTATTGTGTCTGTTTGGGTTGCTTACCCAATTTTGTCAAAATTAAATATCTTCTTTGCCAATCAACCTCAAAAGAAGTAGAAAGCTTAGGGTCCTTTTTTAAACAGGCATTAGAACTAAGGACAGGGGACTCTTGATTTATTTATATAAATATATATAGATAGATTGTTTTGCTTTTTGACTTGTATATGTTTAATGGGATATGTTTTCCTATGGTTTTGTTTTTGAAATGTCTTTTGTGTATTTGCATTCATATAATTTGTCACAAACTTATTGTTTAGAGTTTATATGACAATAAATATTTGAATTGAATTGAATTGAATTGAAATATAATGGAACTATAAACAACTGTCATACAGGTTCGAGGTTTAGCTAGCTATAAAATCAGGTTTAACTCACCATTTTCTTCGAAAAATGCCCAGCTACGACTGGTGGTTAGATTGGTCAACAAACGATTCAATTGATATTGTAAAATATTAAGAGTGACTATTTTTCGTAATGAAAAAAAAAAAAAACTGAAAATAACACTTTGTAATTCTATGCGAAGAGCTTTTCTGGATTTATATTCATCAGAAACGTTCAAAGCAAACACACGAATATTTGGAAGCCAAGGAGGTATAAGTACCGAAACTTGCATTATGACCAGAAAGAACCTAAATATAATAGCCAAATCCATCTAAGGTCAACTTTGCCTGGGGCAGTTGGATTTTTTTCTAATTTCTAAATTTCTAAACCTACTAAAGGAGGATTTATGACATAATATGTTTTTTTAATTTTCAATTCAAGGGTCTCATATCTTCTTTGTTTTTTTTTCAATATTGCAGGCAGTAAATTTAAAAACTTTTATCAAAGACCAAAATGGCGAAGAAATGAAGGCAATAGATATTTTTGCATTTGCAATAAAATATTTGAAAGACCAAGCTATTGGAAAGTTAGTCAAAAGTTTGAAGAATGTGGAAACAAAAGATATACACTATGTTCTTACAGTTCCGGCCATATGGGATGACCAGTCAAAAATATTTATGCGGAAAGCAGCAGAACAGGTTTGTAATAGTATACATTTCAAATACGGAGCCTTGGCTAACACCGAACAGCAAGCTAAAAAGGACCACAAAATGACTAGTGTAAAACAATTCAAATAGGAAAACCAACGGTCATGTTCTTTTCTGTAATTTCTGAAGGAAACTGATTGTGGAAAAGTAGCGTTAGGATTTTTCTCAATAGAATTGTTTCATATTTTTCAAGTTTCATAAATTTAAAGTCGGGGCCTTTAATTTATATCCGATAATACGGTATGGGGTTTTCTCATTGTTGAAGGCCGCACGGTTGCCTATAATTTGTACATATTGGAGGGGGGGTCCTGATCCCGAAATCCCGGGCTTAAAAACATGGAAAAATTTAAATCCCGACAACCCAAAATTCGAAAAAAGAATTCCCGGATCCCGAAAGGATCAATCCCGAAATCCCGAGCTTAAAAACACCCGATCCCGGAGTCCCGATAAAGGTCCTACCCCCCCCCCCCCCCCCCCCCCCCCCCCATATTCATATCTCATAAACATGTTATCGTTCAACAAAGTAGTCACCAATCAATCATTTGTGTTTTCAATGAATGTTTATTTTCTAGGCGGGAATAAAAAGCAAGGATTTAATAATAGCTTTAGAACCAGAAGCAGCCTCCATATATTGCCAGGAACTTAGAACTAATGTTGATAAAAAGACAGATAAAACATTTTCGGAAACAATTAAAAAAGGAACAAAATATGTAGTGATCGATCTTGGCGGTAAGTTAATCTTCAAATTTTAAAATCTTCAGTAGGCTGGTTCTTTCGCCAGTGAATTCTGAAAAAGGGTGTGGTTCGTTTGAAGAAAAAGAGTGACTTTGGAATAAGTAACTGTCAAAGTGGGGTATATGGAATGCATGTGTGAACAAAATGGACAGGGATTCTCTATGTTTTTAGAGGGATGATTAAGTCAAAAGAAAATTAACCAAATTATATCCAAAAAAGTTCACACCAAAAAGAACATGTGTACTATAAAGTAACAAGTTGATGGCACAATGAGTTAACTACATTAAAGAAAAACAACCAAACCCCTTAACCTCAAAATTTACTGATTTCACACTTTTACGTTTCTGTAATCAGTGAACTCTCAAAACCTAATAGGCATACCATGTACATGTATATGTTAAAAAGTTTACATAATATAAAGATGTGTAAAGAACTTTCCAGCTTCTGTGACCAACATTTCATTGTAAACTACCTTAAACCAAAACTTTAACTTGATAAAGGACGGACTAACAGATAGGAAGATGCACACACGGGAAAAATAATTATGCTCCCTTGTGTCAAAAGCAACATATGTTTTAATGAGAAAGATTTATTAAATTTGTATTGAAAGTGTGGCAGTTTAATGGTGATGCCAATCTTTGATATTATATGTCAAACTCCGAAACAATGGAAACGTCGTCTTTGCTACGCTACGTTGACTTATTTAGGGTTTAGCAATGCAACGTCACCGCTGTTTCGGAAATTTTTTTTGGGTCAAATTATTGGATCATATTTAAATTTTAGGTGGTACTGCAGACATAACCGTACATGAACGCCAGTTTGATGGTTCATTGGAAGAGGTGCTCCCACCAAGTGGAGGAGACTGGGGTGGAACATCTGTTGACCGAGCTTATCTAGAATTTGTTAACTCGGTATTCACTAAGAGAGTCATTAGCGAGCTTCATTCAAATCAACTTGAAGACTATACAACTCTTTTCCATGAATTTGAAGTGAAAAAAAGAACAATTACTACAGAATATAGTACTGATATTGTTATTACACTACCTGTATCTTTGTTAGAAATTACACGGAAACATTGCACTTCTGTGCTCGCTGCCATTCAGAAGTCGATTTATAAGGAATCTGTTTCATTCAGTGGACAGAAACTTTCTGTAAAACCGGAGGCATTCCGAAAGCTATTCAAGCAGACAATAGATTCAATAATAAAACATCTTGATAAACTGCTAAAACACCCAAACCTTTCCGACCTACATCATATTATAATGGTTGGTGGATTTTCTGAATGTGAGCTTGTCCAAACGGCAATGAGACAGAAATTTTCAAAGATGAAAATAATTATTCCTGACGAGGCTGGACTTGCTGTCCTAAGAGGTGCTGTTTTATTTGGACATCAACCAAAGATTATAGGAAAGCGAATATTGAGGAAAACTTACGGAATACAAAGCTGGCCTGAATGGGACGCTGAACTACATCCGGAAACGAAAAGAGTGCGAATTGATGGAATTGACCGTTGCAAAGATGTCTTTTATAAATTTGCTGTCAAAGGTGAAAAAGTTGAAGACGGTCATTCCTCTGGACAAATATTTCAGGCGTTAAAAACAGACGAAAAAACTCTAGAGTGTACAGTATACATTTCAGATGACACTAATCCCCGATATGTCACAGATCCCAGTTGCCAACGCCTAGGGAATCTCATCGTCCCAATACCTCCCCTCAAAAAAGGAGAGACGCTTGAAATTGAAGAAACAATGATATTTGGTGGAACTGAACTCTTATTCAGAGCAAAGAATATGAAAACGGGTGAAATTTGTGAAAGTCAGTTTGAATTAATTTAGTGAATTATTAAAAATTATACAACTGTTTACAAGATGAAAACCAATAGTCATTTTCTACAATTAATTTTGTTATAAAATAATTTCCATTGTTAGTAAATGAGTATTTACTTATCAAATTGTTCATCAGTGACCGTGTTTAATGTCGTGACCTGTGCTCATTGAAAATTGAAAAAATTGAATGGAAAAATAATCAAAATAAATATAAGTTTAAATTAAAGTAAGAATAAAAGGTTTTTTTTTTCAAATTTCTCCAGACATATAAATCAATTGGCTCTATTTGATTGGAAAAACGCAACATTATCTTTTCACAATGATGACCGACGTTATGCTATCCCCAGAATTTACACAAACAGAATTTATTTAAAGAATGACTGTTAAACCAAAACCAAACAATAAACCTGCCAGTGGTCACCTGGACACGGTTGGTGCACTTTCAAACAACTGGAGATATTTTTTAAACGATTTTGTATGGAATAGTTGTATTGGAAGTATTACATACCATGACATCCACATATTTTTTTCTTAGTATTCCGTTACCTCTGCAAATGGACGTGCATATTGATGTCTAGTGTTAGTGTATTATATACCTAGACAGCTTCCTTTGTAGCGTAAGGTGTATGTGAATCGTGTCTGTTTCTAATTCACATATATATCGGGCTTTCAAATATCGGTTTTAGTCAAGTCTGCTACATATGCCATTGTTTGTCTTGTTTTCTTAAAAAAAAAAGGGGACACAAGTTCTAAATAAGCTATTGCTATTGTACTGATTGACATATTAACATAAAAAAAACTCCATATACTGTTGTGTTCATGCTAACATTTATGCATGAAGACTATTTTTCATAGTTCCAACAAACTCCTGGGTTTAAATAATCAGTAATGAATTTCATCATTTTTGTCGAGCCTTCGACTTTAGTCGAAAAAGCGAGACATAGCGATCCTACATTCCGTCGGCGTCGTCGTCGTCGTTGTCGTCGGCGGCGTCCACAAATATTCACTCTGTGGTTAAAGTTTTTGAAATTTTAATAACTTTCTTAAACTATACTGGATTACTACCAAACTTGGACAGAAGCTTGTTTATGATCACAAGATAGTATCCAGAAGTAAATTTTGTAAAAATAAAATTCCATTTTTTCCGTATTTTACTTATAAATGGACTTAGTTTTTCTGCCGGCAAATATTACATTCACTCTGTGGTTAAAGTTTTTAAAATTTTAATAACTTTCTTAAAATATTCTGGGTTTGTACCAAACTTGGACAGAAGCTTGTTTATGATCATAAGATAGTATCCAGAAGTAAAATTTGTAAAAAAATAAATCCATTTTTTCCTTATTTTACTTTTAAATGGACTTAGATTTTCTGCCAGGAAACAACACATTCACTCTGTGGTTAAAGTTTTAAAAATTTTAATAACTTTCTTATACTATTTTGGATTTGTACCAAACTTGGACAGAAGCTTGTTTATGATCAAAAGCTAGTATCTAGAAGGAAATTTTGCTTTCTTCCAGTTAACATTACATTCAGTCTGCAGTTAAAGCTTTTTAACATTTATTAGATTCATAAAATATCCTTAATTTTTACCAAACTTGGACAGAAGCTTCTAACAATCAAAAGATAGTATCAAGTGGAATATGTTTATTGATTTACTTCCTCATTTTTGTTGAGCCTGCAATTAACAGAAAAAGTAGGCGAGACACTGGGTTCCGCGGAATCCTTACAAATGTTTTCATTAAATCATGGACCGGGTGTTAACTTTACAGCACTTATTTCTCCTATATTCTTTAAGGAATTTTAACAAAACTTTCCCAAAAATATCTTTATATGTTGTCATATATTATTACATAGCTAAATATTAAATATGAATATTTTTGTCGATAATTTCCGTAGATAAAGATATATTTTTCATTTTCTTACATGTTGGAAGAGAGGGTGTACATCACTAATCTCTAGCAATCAGGCATACGTATGACTAGCTGAATAAGTGGAGCATTCCCAGAGCATGCTTCTATAGAAAAGAGTTCTCATTTATCAGGAGGAACTACCGAGAAATTGTCAAAAATGCCAAAAAATTGCGATTTTTAAAATCCCCCCTTTTGACTTTTGACCACAATTTTCAAAAATCTGCACCACTTTGGCACTCTACGACATACCTTAATCAAAGGGTAATACATTTATCTTCAAAATAAGACCAAAATTAGCCGTGAGGTATTTCGGTCCGTTAAATGTTTAAACTTACCTTACTTGTCACCGTACTATGATTATAAATGAATTAAACTGCTAAAAATGGATTCAACGTTTAGTCAATGAATGATCATAAATTCGGACAGATCGAAAAAATAAAACTAAAATAATAATAAATATTAGTTATTCTGATTATAGATGTTTTCTGGATATATGCAATTATCGAAGCTATGCATTATCATGGGCAAATGTTTCAAGCTCTTAAACGAGTTAAAGAACTCTCGAGTGTACTGTTAATGTATCAGAGGATACAAATTCTTGGTCTGCGCTTTGGATTCTAATAATACCATTACTTCCCCTGAAAAAAGGGAAGTCGCTTGAAATCGGAGAGATTGTATGGATTGATTGATTGTTGGTGTTTTAACGCCACTTTTGGGCTATTTCGTGGCGGCCAGTTTTTATTGGTGGAGGAAGCCGGAGTGGCCGGAGAAAACCAACGACCTTCGATAGGAAAACTGACAATCCTAGTCAATTAAGATTGGAGTTGAGTGCACCCGCAGGAGCGGGGTTCGAACTCACAACCTCAGTTTTGACTGGGTAGTGATTACAGAAGTAGAACTACGTAGACCACTTGGCCACCGAGAGAGATTATATGGAGGTACTGGACTTAATTCCTGTGCCCGAAAGTAAAAGCTATCTATATATATATAAGTACCGCTAGTTACATCTGACCTGTTATGACATTGATAAAGCCTGAGAACTACTAGTATATGGGAGGATTGCTGTTATTGCCTATCGCAATCAACAGTATATCCTAGAGCACCGTCCCTTGGTGTCTCCAGCAGATGAACAAATTTCCATCTTTATAGATAATAATTTAAGTATGTTCAAGTTCAGACTTTATTATTATATTTTTATTTTTATTTTATTTATATTTTTTTTTGTTTTTTATTTGTGCACTGCTGGACATAGAAATAGTAATAATAATAAGGAAGGAAGAAAAAAAAATACTCAAGAGTTCTTTTAATGTATTTTTGTTATTAATGCTTTTTTCATTTGTCTATTATAATATCTGTCACGTTATATACTGTACAATGTCTCATGTTTGTTGCTTAAAAAAAAGTAAAATCACAAAAATACTGAACTCCAAGGAAAATTCAAAAAGGAGAGTCCCCAATCAAATGGCAAAATCAAAAAAACAAACACATCAAACGAATGGATAACAACTGTCATATTCCTGACTTGGTACAGGCATTTTCTTATGCAGAAAATGGTGGATTGAACCTGGTTTTATAGCTAGCTAAACCTCTCACTTGTATGACAGTCACATCAAATTCCATTATATTGACAACGATGCGTGAACAAAACAAACAGACACAATAGGTAAAAATGTCAAAAATAGGGGTACAGCAGTCAACATTGTGTTATCATCTTAATCACTATAAAAACAAACAAATGTAACGAAGAAGCACAAATAGGCATACATCAAATTTAACATCCAATTATGCTTATATTATACGATTTTATTTATCTATGTAAAATCCACCCATAAAGGATGGAAGGTTTTAAGTACTGGCGTAAAATCGTATTATATTATCATAATTGTTAATTGTAAATGCCCCCCGTGGGACCCTGATTGGAATAATAAAATATTTGATTTATATGTATACAAGATCCTTTAATTTAACTGCCTCCCTATAATATTTCATTTGACAATTTCAACAGGTAAAAATTAAACACGTATGCATTTTGCATACACATTTCTGCGGACACTTGACTTTGCTGTCAGTCAGAAATGGGTAAGATTACAGTCAATGAAATCGATTAAATTACAATTACTTTGTCAATTGTACGATTAAATTAAATTAATGATTACACCATTTATCAAAGTAACTTATTAAGGTTCATGTGGACCCTTTTGCTAAAATGGCTGCGTTTTCACGTCAAAATTTACTCTGAGTACAGACAAACCTGTGCATCTGGAAAAGTTTTTTAAGGCATAGCATGCCCTAGATACATAAAATTCAAATGCATTGTATGTTTTAGAAAATTCAAAACTTAACTTGATTTTGCAGTGCACTTTTTTTCGTCCCTGCAGAAGATAATAAAATTAACAAACAGTTGAGTTTCACTTGATATGGTCCACTCAGGTACAGAGTTTAAATCACCAATTATTGTCAGGTATCTATTGTCCATCTATTGTCCATGTCAATTAATACAGCTCACTTCAATTATTACCTGTGGGGAAGTTCTCAAACCTCTTTCACAACTTAGTTTATTTTTGCACATTCTGGAGGAATGAAAAAAAAAAGTGCACTGCAAAATTCTGTAAAGTTTTTATTTTTTCCAAAACATAAAACATATTTGAAATTTATTTATCTAGGGCATGCTATGCCTTAAAACTTTTCCAGATGCACAGGTTTGTCTGTACTAGGAGTAAATTTTGAGGTGAAAATGCAGCCACTTTAGCCAAAGGGTACACATGAACCTTAAATGTGACAAGTAATCATGATTACATCTGATTACAATTAATTTCAAAATAACCCATTTGAATGATGTAGAGGAATAAAAGTTATAACTGTAGCACTTTTCGAGAAAGGATTTTAACTGATGTGTTATCAAATAATTATTTCAAACTTTATCAAATTAATAAACCAAAATGATTTTGTCACTGATTATGGCCCATTACGCTTCATCATCATCATTCTAGGAAATATTCTGACTTCGATTTAATAAAGATTTGTCAAGAGGATTGGTTGTGACCTTTCTGATATCTTCCAAACTTTATAGTCCGTCGGATGGGGATGTTAAATCCGAGGTCCCGTTTTCAGGGAGTACCACGCTCTTTGCACATTAAAGATCCTTCTCAACAAGCTCTTTTTGAGTGGTCCATAAGTGACTGGTTGTTTGGCAAAATTATTTCATACTGGTTTTGACTTTGATATCTTTTTCAATGGTTTATGATTTAACTATTTGATAATTTGGTTTTCATGGTCTAATTTTTGTCTAAAATCTGTTAGTATTCATACTTTGATGAGTTGAGCCTTTTTCAGTTAATGTTTTATTGTGTGTCCGTTTATGTTGTATTGTTACACCACTGTTTCAGCTTAGTGTAAAGATTGGCGCCAGATAAAACGTTCAACCCCGCTGCATTTGTTTGCACCTATCCTAAGTCAGGAACCTGATCTTCAGTGGTTGTCGTTTGTTGATGTGGTTCATAAGTGTTTCTCGTTTCTCGTTTTTTATATAGATTAGACCGTTGGTTTTCCTGTTTGAATGGCTCCGTGTTAAAGGCTGTACTTTGACCTATAATGGTTTACTTTAAATTGTGACTTCAATGGTCACGACTAAATACATATTCCAGTACATGCATGCAATTAAATTCGTAGGCAGTCTAACGCATCTTATGGACGTATATTGCAAAGACTAACTGAAACATCGATGTAGTCCGTGTTTTCACAATGCTTAACTTGATGTCCCAGTCCACTTTAGATAAGCGTTCTACCGATACTAGAAAGTCTGCTTCATATCTTCATCTGTTTGATTAATGTTGACACATATGGTCGAATTCAAACTAGAATCTTTGACAAATGTGATGATTTCAAACTTTTTTCAATAGTCAATTTCCTATTTCTCAGCTGTAACATAACTTCTGCCCATTGTTTGGCGTTTTTATGGCCGTTGAATGTCGGGCAACTTTTTTTTCACATTGCCCAGCCTGAGGACTTCCGTTGACGATGAGATATGTAACAGGGTCCAATCCAAATTTACTAACCTTCATTCCGGTCAACAACTATTACAATACATACCAATTGCATTTATTTTTTTTAAGTGGTTCTCGTCCTGAACATGTATGAAATATTTGCCCCTAATGTCAAACAAGCTTCAATTAATCAATTGTCTAAAAAATCTTAAAATACGAGCTTATTACTGCACATGAAGACATAACCGACTGTTTTTTTTCTCACTTGGCAATGCAATTAAATATCAAATTTCTATGACTATCTACATTTTTTAAACATTTTGTTTCAAACCAAAGACTTGTATGGTCATGGTTTTTGTCGGAAATTTATGATAACGAGATTGTGGAATACGTTTGCATACCCTCTTACCATGGGATGGAAGAGGTGGTTTTATACACAAACGAGCCATCATTCTAAAGGCAAATTAATTGTATGTATAGTGTGCAGCTTGCATTTCTGTACAATACAAGAGGTAGACATGCTGCTGACATCATTATCTCAATTGAATATGAAAGGAAACGGCGAAATGGCCTTATCAGACTAACATAGGTCACAAAGATTATGTAAAAAGTCATGCACGTAGGATAAAGTTGAAGATGAAAAACATTTTATATGTCAATGTCCGCTATATAATCTTTTGAGAAATGAGTTATATTATACAATTTCAATAAGTTGTAAAAAATTCGAAAAGTTTAAACACATGTGCCAAGTTTTAATTGGCTTTTTAATCAAGAAAAACCTAGAGGTATTAGAAATTATTGCAATTTATATTAATAAATGTTTTGAACTCCGAAAACTATCAATATAGTACAGATATGTTTTTATGTAAGCCTTAAGTATATTTGCCGGTTAATATTACATATAACTGTTATGCTTTTTACTTATAAATGTATACTTATATGCTTATGGCTCTGGTATGGCGATGGTTTAGCATTTTATAATTGAGATGATTATATTCATGTTTATACATATGATTTTCAATACTATTGTGTCAATTATCTAAATCATTGTAATAAATTATTTTGCTCTTCATGGGTCCTTTAATTGGAATAAAAATATCTCATCTCATCTTATCTTATGTTATTAGTAAATGTATACTCCATCGGGGGTGAAGTTGGTATATTGCTGCTAAGTTGATGAAGATATATCAATTGGACCAAATCAGAAAAGCTTGGATTGTTAATGAAAAAATCAGCAACAATATACCTAAATATGAAATTAAATGAGCTAGCTTCTTTGATCTTCTTGTTTTTGCTAGTATCCGAAGGAACTCCGACTCATATGAAAAAAAAGGTAGACCAGGAGAAGTGCACAGTTGGTTCCCATGGGAATGCCATACTAATAGTTCCAGCTCAAAATTTAACAAATATGCTGTCAATGAGAAAATATAGCATACTTAACAAAATATTTCGAATTGTATCCCAAAACAATAAATTTGCAGCGTTTGGTACCATTTTAATTGAGGCAAGCACAGTGGGTTTTTTCTTTAAAACTGGTTATTAATTTTTCATGTTAGTATGTTGGTACAAAATGTCAAAGGTTTTGATATAATTCACCTTAGAGAATGACCGAAATTAAAAAAAATCCGGAAGTTCTTTGGCATTCCTAAGAATCCATATATTATGGAATGCCACATCGCGAGTAAACAGTGTCACAGTATTTCTGTAATCGATCCCTGTTTGATTGCAGACAAAATTTTGACTATTTACACAAAAACGACGTTCAAGTTGTACAAGGTTAAGCATGTTTAGAGTGTACCACTGATAAATAATACGTCTTGGTCGCTTTCATATCGGACAAACGATACTGATGAAGTATATTTGTTTTCTTAATTTTTCATATATATATCTGGCCTTTGTTAGTCTTGTATGTTTTTTAATTTTAGTTCATTTATATGTTTTGGAGTTTAATGTGACGTCCATTTTCACTGAACTAGTACACAATTTTATTTAGGGGCCAGCTGAGGACCACCTCCGGGTGCGGGAGTTTCTCGCTGCGTTGAAAACCCATTGGTGGCCTTCGACTGTTGTCTGCTCTTTGGTCGGGTTGTTGTCTCTTTGACATATTCACCATTTCCTTTCTTAATTTTATGTTGATATTCCTTTTTTATTCAACTTATGTTGTTTCTGTAGACATTTTCCATTCCTCGTAAACTGAATACAGATGCTTTTCATTTTAGTTCTTTTCTAAGCCATATGCAATAATATCTGCCCTAAATCTCTTTACCAAATATTTAAATAAGAACCTATGTTTTATGCATGGTATTTCTTGAATGTGCGTATTGTGGACACAACATGTTTCTTTATTGCATTGAGAAAAGAGACATCAAGTTTTTTTTGTAATTCACATTCCACAG